CAGCTACACCCTCCATTGCAGAACATGCAGTGATCAGGAGTTAGAATAGATTATTTTTCAAGGTCTCCTATAATTCTAAGAATGGAATTTTTTTACCCTATTAGCTTTTAGAAATGAATGCTATTATATTTAATGGCCACACTCTGATTTTCCATTTATGAACCAAAGGAACCTGACAAACCATCTTATTCTGAAATCTTTGAATGAACTGGTTAAAATACACAATAGTTTGCTTTTTAAACCAATAAGAATCCTCAAAATAACACTGAATGAATCCATTCCTAACCAGAAATAACTTGCTCAATCAAGCATTGTTCAAGTAGTGTTAAAATTCACTGCTTTACTTCAACATCTACTGAGTAGGAAGTTATCTTTAGTCCTTCAAGATGCTTAATTAACCCTTACAATGAAATAAGTGTAAGGTCATGATAGCAGCTGCAAAGACCAAAGACTCAAGGTTTAATTATGAAAATTCATAAGGAAAATTCTCAGCTAAAGATGACAGAAACAAGCGCATTCACATTTTGCATCACAGTCCTTCAACTGCTGTGTTCCTGTGACTGTGAACAGACATACCTGTAAAGCCTGCAATGGCAGGGAGGTGGAATCTACTATATGAGGTTCATATAGCCGGTTCAAGCACTACTGCACTTGAAGACATGTTCTTTTTTTCTAGTGTAATTATTTTGCACAGAGGCCATAGATATAATAAAAATACAGATATGTAGATTAGCTATTCAAATTATATCCTGTGACTGCAATCCCTGTTATTTTCCTTGCATCAGATTTCATTTCCCTTATAATTACATCCCAGTAGATTAGTGCCAAAGGTTGTTCATCTCATCTCACCTCACCTCATTTCATCTCTTTGCAAAGTTTCATCATAACATTAGCTGAGTTTTAAAAAATAGCATCATGGCTATTCTACCTTAAATGTTTTAAGAACCTTCTTGCCACCACATTATAAGGAAAAAGACTTCAAAGTGATTTATTTATTGCCCACCTTTTTCTTTTTTAAAAAACTCAAAGCAACTTACATCATTATCTCCCTCCTGCTCTCAGTCTCATTGTCACAACAGCAACCCTGTGAGGTAAGCTATGCTGAGAGTCTGTGACTAGCCCCAAATTGGTTCCAGTTGGCTCCATGGCTGGGCAGGGACTAGAACCCAGATTGCGAGAATCCCAGACCTGTGCTCTTAACCACTATACCACACTGATTTTCAAAAAGGATCAGACAAATGAAGTCCAAGAATGACCCAGAAGATCTGCCCAACAATAGATGAGACAAAAATGTACCATCTTTCATTAAGGTGACTGAGAAAATTATGGTGTCCCAGCATCAAATTCATCAGGATGATATTGGTTATCTAGACCCATTTCCATTGTGTTTTTGGCCAGGTTATGTGACTGAGATGGCTTTGGTCATCCTGGCAGACAATCTGTACTGAGAACAAGATGGGAAAGCGTGATCTTACTTGTTCTTCTGGGCCTTTTGGCTGCTTTTGACTATGTATTCCTTCTGGATTATCCGATGGGGCTGTGCCTTGGGGGTGCTTTTTGCAGTGGTTTTCACCTTATCAGGCCAAATTCAAAAGATGGCGCTCAGAGATCATGTTAGAAGTCCCAGGCCATGTCCACCAGGGTTCTTCTTTGGCTCCACGCTATTCAGTATTTGCATGAAACTACTGGGACAGATTATTTAGAGCTTTGCAATAGCAATATGTTGATGGCACCATTGCTCTTTGTCATCTACTCCAAGGACTCATTCAAAACCCTTCAAAATTGTCTTGTTTTTGATAATGACTGGATTAAGGAGGACAAGCTGCATCCAGCCCATTATATCCAGACCAGATGGAGGAGTTGTTTATCCACAGAAAGCCTGAACTGATGACTGAGTTTCAACCTTTTCTGGAAGGGGTTGCTTTCCCCACTGAAGAACCAGGTCCATAGCCTGGGAATGCTACACTATTCCTGGATATTCAGGTATTAGTGGCAGCAGCACACAGTGCATTTGCACAATTATGCTTGGTGAACCAACTGTGACCCTTCCTGAGCCAGTGTGACTTGGCAATAGTCATACATTCCATAGTTACCTCATGTTTAGACTGCTTCAATGTGCTCTACATGGGGTGATCCATGAAGAGTGTCTGAAAGCTTCCACTAGTGCAATATGTGACACACATGCTGCTAACAGAAGTATGTCAGTAAGATTATGCTATACCTGTCTTGAAAGACCTGTACTGGTTGCTAATTGCTTTCCAGGTTTGACATATGTTAGTTTTAATGCCTTAGGATCATTACTGATTTTGTTTCCAAACTTCTTATACCCCCAAAACCTTCTTATACCTCTTCACCAAAAAGAGGTAGAGAACAACTGACATATTAATAACACAGCAAGAGAACAGCTGTAACATCATACTTTCACAATAAAACTGACATACAACCATGATAAACTGGTCTAAAGACACCAAAGTCAAGAAATCAGGAGCCCCATGCCTATGTTGATAAAAACAGCCTGAACCTGCTTGGTTATTAAGAGGTGCTCTTGAGAACACCATTCAGATGTCCATTTGTCATGCATATCTAAGAATGGTCTCTCCTGTGTTGCTCCCAAAATCTGGAATGTGCTTACTCAAGAATAGCAATTAGTCCCAAGTCTCTTGACTTTATGAAAACAGATCTTTATGATTTAGCCCTTTAAATTATGCAGCTTTAGTTTTATTAGTTTATATGTTGTTAATGTTTTTATTATGTTAAATTTTTTAAACTGTCGCACACTGCCTTGAGGACTTTTTAGCAAATAAGGCAGTATACACATAAAAATAAGTGTAAATAAAATATCTAACTGTACTTTTTATTTTCCCTTTTTAGTTCTGAAAAACAGGAGTGTTTAAAATACAAACAAAGCCAACAATACTACATATATATTTATACGGCAGATTCTGCAATGTGCTTCTGTTCCAGCTGAAGGTGCTGCTAAATGTACCAGCTTCTAGGATGCACCTGAGCATCAAAAGAAAGCTAGTTTACATGTCATGGGGGAAAACTGTGAATTGTTGGGATATGCATTACATGTGAGCCTCTTCTGCATCTTAAAAACCACCTCCAATCAGTCTGATTGGAGGTTGTAGGTGTAACAGGAAAACATATTTAGGGATAATAAGCCATGCATTAACTACTGGGCTGTTTAGTCCAAAAACAAGCTATCAGTCTGGGTTTGCACATCAGACTGACAACCTCTGATTAAGCTGCCTGCGCTTCCCCATGAATTATAGGGAAAGTAAACCTTTATTTTCCATTGTAATGTGTAAACTAAATTAACTACTATTCACTTGGCAGAGGCTTAAATAAAATATTTATGCCAAAGAGAGAGCAATCCACATCTTTTTATGTACTAGTGGTGGTAGTAGAGACATTAGAATGGCGCTGAGCTGCATTCCCTAGCAGCAGAGGGGTGCTCCATCTGCAGAAAGCTACCACTGGCAGCAAAAAAACTAAAATTCTGATACAGAGAATTTAGAGGAAACTGTTTTGGAACTGTGGAACCCAAAGGTGTTTCACTGTTCCAAAATGAGTCTAGATCAAACTCCTAAACTGAAACTGGCATAGTGAGTATTCGCCATTGCTGATATCAGTCCAACCAGTCAAACAGAAAAGCCAGCCTACCTTCCCATATACACATCTTTCACCCTAACCAACAAAAGCAGACAGAGCTTGAGATGGAAAGACGATCTACTTAGGATTGCACTGTTAAAATATTATTGCTAAATTTACATTAAAGAATGAGGGACTTTTGAAAGCTTATTGCTCTGATGTTCTACTGAAGTTCTACTACTTGACAGTTCATTTCATATGTGCAGTAAAAATAAGTCATTTTCAGTATTTGGTACATCAAAAATAAAGACTTTGAAAAAGCATCATATATTCAAACATATGCTAGTCAAACATACACTAGAACTGCCAGACTATTTGAAACTGTCAGAGTTAAAACTACATGTACCCATGCAATCAAAACACAGAAAGAAAACATAAGAGATAGAGGATAATTGCATTTAATAATGATGCAATGATGTGGGAGGTTGGGAACTTTGGCATAGTTCAAATATACCTACAAAACCATGCATTGTTATTACATTGGAACTGCATGTCTGTGTTCTTCTCTCCTGTTACCTTCTAAACAGACTATCTTGAGCAGGAGACAAAGAGAAACTGAACTTCTAAAAACCAGGAAGGCATTCAGGAAGAATAATTTGTTGCCTTGAAAGATATCTTCAGAATGGAAGTCTTCAGGCTCAGCTGCCTAAGCAGAACAAAGCACATATTTCTCTATTCTAACCTTTCTTTCCAGCTACCTTGGGACTATAGCCTCCATCTGCTACTGACCATGCTGAATGGGACTGAAGAGTTGTAGTTCAACGTATGAGAACAGCAGCAGAATGGGAAAGGCTACCACATTTGCCTCAAGACAGACAAAGATACCTGGTTTATAGGAATTCACAAGTTTTGGTTGGCTTTGGTAGCCAGTCAAAGTTTGTATTCATTATGACCTTGCATCTCTACTAATCTATGGTGTTATGCTGAGCTTTGGAGGAACTTTGAGCATCTTCAAAGCACAACTTGATGCCAGGGATGATTTCCAATCCAATGCAAACTCCAAAACTGAAAATCTCTGAAGTCTAGCACAACTGCAAAGATGATCCGCCTCCTCCAAGAAAGTGGGAGGGGATCACTGTACTTGCCAGAATGGCAGGAAGCCTAGTCTGGTATTTTCAACTGTGAACAATGAGTCACCATCCCTACATTGTTGGTTATAAAATATTAAAAACAATGTTCTGAAAAACAGTAAAATTACTTCTACATAACTTCCTTTGAAAAATATCATTCCCTGAATGATCTAAAAGAAAACAACATTACTGCTAACAATAAAATCATTTATATTTTAAGGAAAATTACAAACCAGTACCAAGTCAGACACCAAGCTTAGAACTTTCACTATTCACCTGTGTTTTGTATCCTCCATGTTTTTGTAAACTGGGTATCAGGAGGGATGGACTCTCCTTCTCCTATAGTCACATCTTCTACAAAGGACATGGAGGGCACATTGATGTTTGGACTCTCAAAATCATAGTAGGCTCCAATGGCTGCCTGCAAGTTCCTAGAAAGAGAGTAAAAGGTTTATTCAATCATAGATCTGTAGATTTTTTCCCCATACTTATACTAAAAGAGAGCAAGGGAGACAGTGCTTACTGGCCTCATTCCCAATGCTGCATGCTCCCTCCAACATCTACCTTTGAGGAGAACACAGGTAAAGGGATGTGCAGACACCCCTTTGAAGATTTTCTGCTCAAGAATGCCAATAGCCAAGCAAGTTGACACATTCTTCTATCACACAGAGAAGGGGGTTTGCTCATTCAGGGAAGAAAAATAAGTACCAGTGTCCTGGCCTGGGCGTGCTTCACACACACTGCTGTATTAACATCATTACCCTTACTGGGTGTGAATTGTCATGTTGCCTGAACCCTGCAAAGGTAGTTTACAAACCATTCCATAACTGTAAGGAATGGGTTCTGGTGTGGCATGTAAAACCATGTATCCCGCATCCTCACACTGTTTGGATGACCCAGCAAACTTGTGTCCAGTGAGAGTAACTCTGGTAATCAGCAGAACTCAACCAGCAAATGCTGGACAAACAGCTAACCTAAGGTGGATTATTTTCCTTCCCTGATTGTGAAAATCCCAGCACGTATTACACGTATGGAAAGTAACCTATTTAAAAAGCTTGCTATTCTTGTTGATCATAAGAGCACGGTGTACTGGCATAAAATCAGCAAATGGGCCCAATGATTGCCTTTGAGAATTGCCAATAAATCTCAAAATTTAAATATATATTGAAATTTTGCTTTGCATGTTTGAATGCAGGCAGAAAGAAATAAAAATGGTCATGAACTGATTAGTGACTGCAAAGTTATTGCTAAAAGGTCAATGAATTATGTGGTGTGAAACCTGCAGAATTGTGGTTTGTTTGACTCCTCAAAGTCTGCATAACACGACAAACCCACAGTTGGGAACTACAGATTCATGATGGTGGCCAGCATGCATGGCAGTTCTTCATGGATAAGCCTACCCACAGTGGATTGTTGTGTAAACAGTCATGATTAGTGAAATAAGTAGAAAATATTGATTGATTGATTGATTGATTGAATGTGAGAGCCGCCCACTAGCATCACACTTGCTTGCTAACAAGAAAAATGGAATACTAGTCATTTTAGAAACAGAATGACTATAAATGTGCAAACATGAGGCATTTCTTAAAAGCAAAAATAAAACTGGAATGGTTTCATATCATTATATTTTAAATTTTTGTTTATGTCTATGAATGTTTTAATTGTACAAGTTTTTAATGGAGTGAGCTGCCTTGAGCTCCAACTATTGTGAATAGGCAAGATATAAATATCATCATCGTCGTCGTCATCTTAATCCAGTCTAATTGATGTAATACTAAAGCACTGATTACTATGTGGAATTCATTAAGACACTGCACCAGTCTATTAAAAAGGGACCGACCAAGGAATGTTTCTCGACCAAGTGCATCTATATTTGAAGAACTTGGCTAACAGTATATATTTACAAAAGACTCCTAACATACAACCAGCTTGACATCCAGACATTCTGAGAGGAATGGTGTGAGGAATTAGAATGCCACATCCAACCACACCAGTGGAAAACGGCTACATCCATGTCCTCTGACCTGAAACTACACCTTATATGGCAAAAGCTGCTCTTCCAAGCATATTGCACTCCATGATGCCTGTTTCAAGAAAACTATCACCCTTTAATAAATGTTGGCAATGTGGGAAGGCAGAAACATCATTAGTGCACATGATGTGAAAATGCCCAGTGATGGCCCCACTTCTGGACAGAAGTTGTTAGATGCATCAACTTTGTCCTAAATACATCATTCTTCATTTTAAAAAATGTCTTAAAAATGCTGAATTACATTCCCACTTCCTGGAAGCCATCATCTGGCCACAAGTGGACTATATGAGCCTTCATGGTAACTAAGAGACATATACTGCAAGGATAGGAAGTCAAATCATCCTCCTCAACCATGCAATGGACTGAAGACCTCACAACACTGGCATCTTATGAGAGAGACTACCAATGACAACATTGTCTCAACACTCTTTAGAACATTTGGTCAACCTACTACAACCTAAATATACTAATGATGTAGAACAGGAACTCTGAATATTTGTGCATGTGTGAGCATATATGTATACATATATATTACAAGAAATGCTTTCAAGACCAGTTCAATGCATCTCTGATCATTTCTGTTGTTGTTTAGCAAAGTTGTGTCCAACCCATCACTACCCCATGGACAACATTCCTCCATGCTGTCCTCCACCATCCCCCAAAGTCCACCTAAGCTCACACCAACTGCTTCAGTGACTCCATCTAGCCGCCTCATTCTCTGCCATCCCCTTCTTCTTTTGCCGTCAATTGTTCCCAGCATTGGGGTCTTCTCCAGTGAGTCCTTCCTTCTCATTAGGTGTCCAAAGTATTTGATCTCTGATCATTACTGTGTGAATATATGGGCTTTTTTTATTGTTTCATGCTTTGTGTTTCTGTTTTGTTTGTTTCATTCCCCCCTTGTTTGTTGTTCTACTACTCTTGTTTTGTAGTCTCACTGTTTTCTGCTGATGTTTGGTTTTGCTGAATAAAATAAAAATTATAAATATTTAAAAAGTGTCCCCAGACTCCTCCCCACACCCTGCCACTGCTCCTTTGTTCTGCTCTGGGATGGAATTCCATGGGATTTGGCACTGTGATTGCCTTGCTATTCACCACAGCCATCTGCAAGCAGGGGATTAGTGACCATTCGGGTACATGCACTGCAGACTTTCCCACTGGGATGCTGTATTAAGATTCTTTCAACTCTGAGATAGCACATTATCAGTAATATTTATGTACATGCTGGAAAAACCTTTCCAATTTATAAGTTGTTACATCAGGTTTAGGTAACTGGACAGTCAGATATCCAGGTTCTGAGTTGCACTACAACTTATGTGAAATGCCAGCTACTTTCTGAACAAGAAAGAGAGTTTATATTTAAAAATACTGGCTCATTTAAATGCTATGGGATAGGTGTATGTCACATTAGCAACTAAGTGGAGACTATGCTTTATGTCACTAGCTGTGTCTTGCTTCTAGAAGAGAATTCTGGCTATTGAGTGGTCTAGAAGGTACAGAGAAATAAACAAACAAAATGAGATTTACTTAACTCTCAAAAGAGATTTGTCAAGAAATTCTTGTTCAAACTATGGAGTCAATATAACAATCTCCACTGAAATATATCTCCTTCAATTCAGACTAAAGATTAAACTAACTGGAAGTGGAACATAGTCATGCAATTATCAGTCAGTGCTCCTCTCCCCAACCAACCCCCTGCCACCTTGCTACAGTCTATTAAAATGCAGAAGTCTTTAGACATCTTATATAACACAAGTGCATAAATATTATTAAAACTCTATCATCATATAGGGAAGAGAGTTGCATAATAAATATTGGGGAACATTTCTCAAAACAATTATTCAGACACAAGAGAGAAAACACCACAGTTTGGAATATTTTGACTTTCCATCCTGTAAATATGCTTCAAAGTCAAAAAGGCTATTTGAGCATCAGGGCTCACTGCCAATTGTCTTCCCCTCCATGTGTCACATTTCATCACCCAGCTTTGCCACTTGGAATGATTTCAGTGTCTGTTCCAGTTAAAATCTAACTAAAGGCAGCACAAACTGAAAACAGACTTGCAACTTTATTCTTCTAATGCATTTAAAAGCCTGTTTCTGCATGCTATTGTGCTAGAGACAAAATAAGTACACTAAATTGCAATCATGGACTTTTCAGTAAGGAGTTGATGACATATTCTAGAGAGTTAATAATAATAATAAAAATAAGTGTAAGACTGAAGCAAGGGAGGGGGGAAACACCAGCAGAGTCAGAATGACAAAGCAAATGTCTGACTGAAGTTCAACAGAACACGTGCTTTTTGCCGTAGTGCTGTGTGGAGACGCCCACATTGTCTGTCTGGTAAGAGACCTGTAGTAACAGTGGATACAGCTGAAGACACAGGTATTCAACTAAACAACAGACCAGACAGCTGTTTTTTCCTTTATCTCTGCTTAAAGCCCAAGAAAGCTTCAGTGTAGAGTTCTACTGCTGAGATCACATTTGAAACTTTGTGAAATTCTAAGGAGCAGCAAATCTCTCTCACCTTCCACCAGCATGTCCAGAGACAGTTTTACAGTCAAATGTGAACTACAAGAAAAACATCTGTAAAAGTAACTTTAACAGTCTATAGCAGCATACATGAAGATGAGCACACACACACACAAATCCTAACACCTTGGAAATTGATTCAACAGAGAATAAGTATTTGTAACTTGGGGTTCCTTGCAGCTTGTGAAGATTTTATCACCCTTTCTACAGTTTATTTGCATTCATGTGTAAAACCTTAGTGAAAATCTCTTCAGACATTTGACTTTACCAAACACATTCACTTCAGATAATCCCTTTCACTGCATATTCCTATCCTTGGCAAGAATTAGGCCTTTGATTAACATGCCCACTTACTTTAAGTACAAAATTCTTCCTTCCTGTTCTATTCTGTATAGGCTAATAGTTTTCTTATAGGTTTGTTACTGCATTTTCCCAGCACTTCTCAGCATGGTTTGAATGTACGAATACTGTAAGAATGCAGTAATACTGGGCCAGGAGAAGATAAAAAATACTGCATAGGCCCTAAAGATGCTCATAGGGAGTACATTAAGTGCTTCTGTGAGACAATGGGAGGGTTGTGAGTAAAGAAGTACTGAGTCTTCCATGTGCATGACCCTCACACACATTCCAGTGGCCCCCTTCAAAAGCAGATTTATCTGCTTCATACTGAAATTATAAATTACTAAAATTACAGAATTAAGGTGCTTTTCTAAAATTATTATTCCTGTTCATTACAGGTAAATAGACCATGTTCCTCTCTTTAGAAGATGGTAGGTTTGAACATCTTCTCCACATGGAGTCAAAGACCAAACTTAATGATGTGGTTTTCACATACTTACAAACCATGGATGGATTAACCATGATTGGTTG